TAAAACCCTAATAAACCCTAATAAAACCCTAATAAACCCTAATAAAACCCTAAACCCTAATAATAAATAATTTCTATATTTTTTTAATTATATTTATTATTTTTTAAAAAAATAAGATTTAATAAGAAATAAATAGCAGGTCTTTATCTAAGATTAAAAACTTTAAAAAAATAATTAAATTAATTAATTATAATAATCTTTATTTTTTTTTACCTGCCATAACTTTCTAGATTAAAAAAAAAATAAAAGATCTCAAGACTTATTTCATTTTAGATATAAATATTTATTATATATTTTATTATAATTAATAAGTTAGATATACTGTTTATAAGGGACTATATAGAAAATATATATATATTATAATAAATATTCTGAAAAAACTTTTAATAATTATTTTTTCTTTTATAATATCAGGCTTGTCATGTTATTTTTTAATAATTTGTAAAAAAATATCTAAAATTATATAATATTTAATTATTAAAATAATTTATATTATACATAATTACTACCATGGTTCTTATTACTATAATTATATATATTTAATAATTTAATAATAAAGATTATATAGCTTTATTTATTTATGAATAGTTAAATAGCTTTTAAGACTACTTTATTTTCTTCTTATTATTATTTAGATTAGATATACTGTAAAAACTTATAATATTTTATTAAAAGTTTTTTTATAAATTAAACATATCTTCTTTAAGCTTTCTGAAGGTATTTATCTGTTTAATATAAATAATTATATTTTTAATAATTTTTATCTTCTGGAGTGACAAGCTTAATATATTTAATATTATTAAATATTCTAGACTATAATTTAAAATCTATATTAAAAAAGGTAGAGTAGATAAAGCTAAATCTTATTTAAAGAAAATATAAAATTAAAAGTATTTATTTAATAGAATTATAAAATACTAGAAACAGGAAATGTATAATCTTATTACTGTAAAAGATTTATTAATATATATAATAGTATAAATTACAGATTTTTCTATTATATTAAATATCTAAATGAATAATATACAGTGATATTTAATAAAATAAATAAAGTTTAAATATATATAATAATTATTTATTATGATATTAAGAGCCAAGCTATATTATTTTAATTTAAAATTAAATAATTTAATTTTTTATTAAATAAAACTAACCAGAATTAATTATTAAATAATATAACTAATACTAAAATTACTGCAGAATAAAACTTACTTTTATTAAAGCTGTTACTTATAAATTTTTTTATTATTATTATTAAAGTCTTGATTTATCTCCCAGTTTGTATATAATTAAAATAAAAATATATTACTTTGATTTTTCTCTAGTAGTATTTTTCTATATATTTTCTTAATTTTTAATTTATTTTAGTAATTTTCATGGCAGAGAATAGATAGATATTAAAAGTCTCTAGATATTTATTTATAAAAGTTAAAAAATAATTTTATATATATTAATATATTAGCAGTTACTTACTGGTAGTAAATTATTATATTTTATAATATAGATTTCACTTTTATAGCAGCTCTTACTATAATCTATATATATATATATACTTATTTTTTAAAAATATTAATTACAAAAGGAAATAGTTTATTATTTATAATAATTTATTTTATATTTATAGTAAAGCCTATACATAGTACTGCAAGTATATGAATAAAGTAAATTAATAATTAAGATTTAAAAATTAGATTTTAGAATTTAATTATTCAAATATCTCTATTACCTGTTTACTGTAATGCGGAATATCTAAGAATTTATAAAGAATCTAAATTATTTCAATTTCTTAATAATAATTATATTATTAGTGTTTAGTAATTATAGTATTATTTAAAAAAGTTAATAGAATATAATTAATTAAAATTTAATTACTATTATTCTATCATATTTAGAATAAATATCTTAATATATTAACTTAAATAGGCACTGCATGTCCACTGGCTAATTCTTATCAGTTATCTTATTTTTCTTTATTATATTAGTCTTGCTCTTTTTCTTATATTTCTTAACAGTCCAACTAAACCTCCTACAATGATTTTGTCTGAGGTTTTCAGAAAATATTCCGCGGCTTTTAAACGGTATTATTAGTGCTGCCACAGCCTTAAATAGCCTTAAATTTGCTATAAAGCCCTCGTGGTCCTATCTCTTGCTAATTCTCGCACAAGCTGCTCCAGATGATTAATCTTCCGCTGCAGTGCTCTAACCCTGGCTTTCCATCCCCCTTTCTTTCTTCCATCAAAGCCTAAATGACCACACTGGGCCTGGAACAAGTGACCACTGTAGTAACATGGCCTGAATCTGTCACGCTGTCCATGAGGGTTAAAATATGATATCTCCATATCTTCTCCCTAGGAAATACCTTGGCGTGCCTTAAACGGCAGGTATAACGTGACTTTCCCACATTTCTCCCGGGTCGCCTATGCCAAGACCATGGTAGGTAAATGGAAAGTGAAGCCGTTGAACCCAGTTGATGTGATTTTACAGTAACCTTTAGGTAAGACATGGCGTGTAATAAAAGCTCGTCTAAGAGATATTAACAACCTCAGAGCAGTTACACGCTCTGATAAATGTGAGACATGATATATTTCGGGACATGTGCCTCGGGAATCGTGCTCGTTTATGAACAGTAGCGTAAATAGGCCTGAGCCCCGTCGTGCGATCCAAGTAGGATAATCTACCCTCTCACTTTTCCTCGCTTAATCAAATGACTAGTTGGACATGCAGAGCCCTTGCATGACCTACGTCCCACCAGATTTTATAAGTTCTCTGGGTTAATATTGGAAGTTGGAAGGAAAGGAAAGCAATCGAGGGGCTCTGCTTTGCTGAATACTCATGATGGCTTGTTTAGGGCGATAGAAAGGCTCGAGCCTGCAATATGCACCCTACATGTCTAGCAGACTAGGCAGAGAATTGATCGGATAATCGAAATGATAATACTGGCGCGGTGACAAATTCCGCAGTCGTCAAAACTTCAATTGGATGGAATATACTCTCTAGGTCATGTTTGTGAGCGTCAGGTTTTAGCGAATGTGAAATACGTTGGCCTTGTGGTTACCCAACGCGGAAGATATCCCCGCAGCCAATTTTGTAAAATAATTTTCTGTTTATTTTCATATTCAGACGCTCAGCTTGTCCTACTACAGCAAAGATCATCTTTGGTGACGTTGATTCACATGAGATACCACAAATTCAAAACATGACTATTAGTGGGCAGTCACGGCTAATTCCGCCCCTTTCGTATGGCTGGGCTTTGACGCCCTGAAGTCAACAACACATATTCCCTGTATTTATGATACAATGTATAATCCAATGATAAGATTTTTCAAAGCGACATATACCAGTGTGTATACACAATATTGGATGGAAAGATATCCCGAATAAAGCTAAGATGGGACTATTATATGACGGACTTGCTACTGTAAGATGCCCCAACCTTGCAGGAGTACATACACGCTATTGGGCGGATGGAGGTTCCAGATGAAGCATTCATGTGATCACCCGAGCGCACCCTCCGACCCCGCTTCCGTTGATCTCTTGCATGCCGCTCAATTCTTGTGGTGTCGTAAGCGTCCAAGAAGACTGCCCTCGACGCATTAACGCCCTGCTGTTTACCAGACTGCTGTGAAATCATCTGTACTGTTGAGCCTCTCTCCAAACCCCTATATATGGAATCATTAGACAAGTAAAGCTTTGGTCATGCCCACTGACGGAGTTCGTGATTTCATCCGTGAAAATGGTTCCAATATCGGCCTATCCGAGTCAGACAAGTATTCTGTACTATCTGCTCATGGTGATCGCAAATTTCATATTGAGAGCGACCCATCCAGCAAGCAAGAAAAGACTTCGACATATAAAGAGAAAAAGTGCAGTATAAAACTCCCACTGACAAATCCTAGAACTGCGTCCTGTCTCAGTGTTGCAATAGTCTGCTGTGATTACATGCCTGACTCACATCGCTATCTTCTGGAAACAGGAAGGAAGAAACATATCTTGCCAACCGGGCTTCAACGACCGAGACCCCAGAAGCGAGTCATGGGGTTGTGTGTGACAGTACTTGCATGGAAAAACTGTTAACGGCAGTCCGTAGCGCAAGTCCTAAAGAGGTTACAGGCTTGATCGTGGCCCTTACTTCGACAATTCGTATTGGTCTATCGGATAAAGAAATTTTCAATTGTTTGTTGGATACGGACAGTCACCGTCCATCTGGCGGAGGAAGAGCCTGGGAGTTGGCTGACCCACAAGAAAATGATATGCCTGCAACCAGTGAATAGTCACTATTACTCTGTATTGTTCAAGTAACATGATATTGAGCAAGCTTTATATCAACTTAAAGCAGTCATGGTGATGGTAGTTCCACTTGCTCAATGAAGAGAGGACACATGATGTAGCAGATTTCATATTCAGTAACGATCCATTTTTGATCACAATAAGTCAATAGTAAGGGGAATAAAATAACGAAATATGCGATATGATGGTGCGCCCGTAAATCGGTTCCAGTGAAATGAATGAACAAAACTTCAAACACGCAGGACAGTGTCGAGAGAGTGCTGCGAGCTTGCTAAAAAATTCCATCCCTTCTCCTGTTCCAAATTTGGTTAGCAGCCTGGCTCAGTCGCGGGCAAGATGATTATTGAACGCCATTGTGCTGACAAGCTCCCTGAGGAGATCGAAAATGTGAGAGGCATCTGAAGATGGGTGATTCAGCATGGATTGGATATCCATTATGCTTGCGCGTCGTACAACTGATTGTGGCGTAGAATCCGAGGCAAATATCACCAACCTCCTATGGAGAGGCCTGATAATACTATTGAAGTCGGTGGCTGCGGGATCTTGGATACTGCAGTAACTTAGTACCTCCATGCACGTATTGACATCGGTCAGGTGGCTTTCTATGCTCCTAAGATCAGACCCGTCAAGAAGATGCTGGCATATACTCGATAGCAGCGTGATAGCCGCATGGAACGACGCGTGACTATAGCACGAAACCTATATTAGCATGATATGACCAAGCTTCAAGATCCACTGACATAGCAAGCCAATTTCTTAGAAATGGACTCCGATCTTGGAAGATGATACCAATAATCCAGGCAAGCTGGTGGGCGAATGTTGCGTAAATCTGATGGAAACTCGAAGGCATGTTCATGATGCAAGCGTCAGAAGCTTGCTGCATGAAGTGTTGATATAAAATCACACGGTCCTCAAGGTATACCATGTGTACCAAAAAAAGAGCTCGCCTGGAGTCTTCAGGCAGACTATTGTTGTTCGAAGCAAGTCTCTGCAGTTCTAGAGAAGCCGGAAGTTCCTGACGCCATACGTCTAAGTGACTTGAAAGCTCTTCAAGTCTTTCCCACGGCCACCAGCTGCCGTCTCCAAACCTAGCGCGTGAGAATACTTCTGCCGCCAGTAATGTTACTTTACTTAATTGAGATTGAATTATGCTGATTGTGGTCGGTGGAGGATGTTCAGAGGCCACACTTGACAATTCCATATTACTGAGATTTTTGACCTGGCCGTTCAGTAAGGAAAATCAAGACAAGAATATAACTCACTGCGTGGATTTCATCGTCCCGTAGACCATGTCGACATCCGAGCGCAAATGAAAGCCAACTGGGTTCGGGTCAGTGGGTTTATATAGGGATGCTCTCTCTCCACGTACGTTTCCAAAGATGTTAACGTCCGAAAGACCCGGGACCATTCCGTTTGGGCGTCTTGCCCGTACTTGGCAACTAGCCGATACCAGCGCGTCAGGTGGAGAGCACTAGCTGCATCTACATTAGTCAGGATTTTGTAGATATGGAAGCTGGCATACATATCAGGAGTCTTGCGGCGATGCTCCTATCAAGGATCAAATACATTGATAGGCAGGTGAGAATCCGGATAGTCTGCATGTTGGCTTTTTCTATAGCATCACAGAGAAGAAGCAAGGCTTTTTGAAAATAGGCTATCATGCAAGCATTATCCTCACTGGCACCATCATAACGACAGCCAACAGCGGCAATGGCGCAGAGTTCGCATATGTCGCTGCTTCCAATATTACTATCTCTGTGGTAAACCCTGGATGTAAGATTCCTGCATTCTTCAGGGGGCAAAGTATGAAACAGGCAGGCAGTCCCCGAGAGAAACGCTGATATTGCAGTTTGACTACGATCTTCGATCGGTATCTTGCCGAACCCACTATCGAATGACGGAACAAATGTTTTTCCTGTTGGGCCAAAGATGTTATGGCCAGAAGTGATTTGAGTCAAGTCCCCTGGTGGGAAAATACTCCCTATGACTTGAGCGCTGCTACCAGAATTGTCTGCGATTTGTTTGCTCTGTACTAACGAAGTCTCGACGGCTGTCTGAGAAGTTGGGTTAGAACTTAGCTGCCGAATATTCTCCTCGAGTTGTGCGATTTTTTGTTCCATTGTGTTAATAATAGCTTTCCAGCTCTCTTTCTTTCTCTTATCAACGCTGTCATATTCGCAGTCCTTGTGAAGGCGGAGACAGTTTGAACAATATGGTCTCAATTCATCGCACTATAGAAACTGGCGTTAAAAGTGTACAAACAGTCTAGATTATATGGACCGGGCAAAGATACGTACTCGTCTTCTGGCTGTGCGGCACACTTTGCACGCCAAAGTAGCTTTCTTTCTAGGGGTGAGCTCTATCGCAAGAGCTGCTGGAGAGGGTACAGGGCCCTTGGGTGCAATGGTTTGTTGGCTGGAGGACATGATCAGAGAAAATGACGTTTGTTCTTCCCAGCTTGCTGCAGTTTGCTGGAAGTGGGGTGAGAGGGAAAAGGGAGTGACGCAAGGATAGTTATGAAAGGATAAGTAAGCAAAAATTTATTTGTAATGGTGCATGATCGGTCAGTCCACGTCCGCACATGACTTGATTCGACTACAACTTCGTGTTAATTCTCACACACGGTGTGTTGGATGGAGAGGAATCTCTCTTCTAGCCTCGCTAATTTAGTGGCCTATCCTCTTCCACCGTTTCTGGAGATATCTGGATGACCCACCTCCGGGAGGGGCTCTCGACCGAGGTTGACTGTTTGTCACTACAGGAAGAGATCCTGCGGTAGTTTTGCTTTGTCATGCAAGACATGTCTGCGTGCGACACCCGGTCCTCTTCTCGGCCACGCACCCGAATGTCCCATTCGAGTCTGCTATGCAGCACATGTACACCGCTGCGGGGGTTTGTTAATCCTATCCGAACGGTGAGACTACCGAATTATATCGATGTGAAGTTATCTCCCACCCTGTCAATTTCCTGGAGATGGTAAATAAGAGCTGTGTCCGTATGATGCGATCGTATTGTAGCCGGGTTCAAGCATCCAAATGGACGTTGATCCACCGTACATGGAGGCTCAATCTACACACGGATTATGAGCACGTTCTGCACCAGTGCATTCTGGATGGCAATGTCAGGAGTCTCCAGGTGCGGCTGAATCTGCCCACCGTGAGACTTTGCGTGCTGAGCATCGACGGAGGCGGCCCCCGTGGGGTGATTCCCTTGAAAATCTGGAGCTGCTCCAAGAGGCTGTGGGACCGAGCTCCCGAGTCTGAAATTGCCTGCCCACTACATCGGTACGTTGTTTTCGTGGTGTTTGATTGGAGTGGTACCCGTAGTAACCAGGTTCTTTGTCTCGCGATTCGATCGAAAATACTGTTGCACCTCGTCCACGTGTGTCGGGCTGATTCGTCCGTCTTAGACACCACATAGATCAAGCTGAGAGCCTTCTGGGCAGCTATCAACAGCTGGATATCGACTTCTAAAGTAAGGTGGACAAAGAGGGCCACAAGAGCCTTTACCAGATTTTCCCGAGCGCGCCACCAAGTGACACCCTGGTAACTTCCAATGCCGTCCAGGCCGAAGTGCAGCAAGAGTGTGTTACAGGTGATAAGTATCCGAGTGCTGTAATATAGGCAACCAAGACTGATGGACTCTGGTTTTCTGTCCTGAGCTGGTCTCCGCGTAAAGTTGTAACCAGCTGGCACGTCTTGTAACTAGGACTCTGTGGCTGATAATAAACTCAGGACGATGGGTTTCTGCGGGAATTTGTCCACCCCCTTCTCATGTAAACGTTCAACAGTGTGCCATGATATCATGAGTATCTTCATGCAATAACAGAAGAAATGCGAATCATTCAAGTAGGCATCACCTAAAGTGCGCTTGAGCTGGTTGGAGTCTCTTGCCGAGGAATGTCGTCCGTCGATAATCACATCACCAGAGTTGTCGGGGATCAAGTCCATGCTACTGAGGTTGTAAATAGGACAGTTCCCAACACCATGGCTGAGGACGAAACTGCTTTGGCTAAAGGGTATGGGTAGATCAATATTGGATTTGAAATTCATGTTGGACGTATCACTGCCGGTTGCTATACTCAAAACAAGCTCTAGGGAGCATAGTGACCACCAGATACGACTTCGAATGTATCTTATCTTATCCGATACCCAGTAAGAAGTCATGCTCACATATAATCCTGCCGCCCACGATAGCCGAGCTCATGGATAGGCGGATAAACTTCCATGCCCTATTTCCACTGCTAGTTTCACAATGAGTTATTGCAGGTACAGTTTTATACCTGTTGATTTCACCAACAATAAGTAGGTAGAAACAAGTAAGGCCCTCTATCTGGACATTCATAAGGTCTGAATGGTTAAACATCAAGCTCTCACTTAACCCCAACACCCTTGCATGGGTAAAGTATACCTCATGCATGTCGGAATCGGTGAGAGGATGCCCCAAGTTTGATGAGCCGTAACGAGCCCCAATAGCGAGGATAAGGTTGATAATCGTAGGCCATTTGAAGCTGGGATAGCGGGGCGTGTCTACTAAACAGTATGAGTAAAACTCGATTAGAAATTCGGCTTGGTCAATCAAGGGAACTTCTCGCTGTACCCCACTGAAGTAAAGTTGTACCAGCAAATCAGCTACCAGGGCTTTGGATCGTGGGACAAGATTGCTTCGCTTGATGACCTGGGATCGCGAGCATAAATTTTAGATATTGTAGACGGGGCATCTGTTTCACAAGCGCGAGGGCTGAATGATGTATACAGAACAGTTATGTCGCCTGTGATGGTGTGACGGCTGATGAACCCATTCGTCGGCAAATCAGAGTGCGCTGGATAATTTTTTATCCTCTGGCTTATTGGCCTGTGACATCCGAGCAGGTAGAGAGACCGGGAAGAGCGAAGAGTTGTTAGGCTGACCTCGGAAGTTTGATGGGGGCACTACCCCCGGTGAAAGAGAATCCGTAGATGGATGGCGTAGGAACATCTCCGCCACTGCTAACAATGGCGGGCTCTGTCGGGTGAAGTCAAGGGCCTGGCCAATATATGTATGATCATGGTTTCGTAGATATTCTGCTAGCCATGAATCTTTGGTATGTTTAGCTTCAAGAGCATGAGTTGAAGCGTATTGCCGACGCCGGTCGGTAGTTCGTCGAAGATGCAGTGTGTTCCGTGTTATGAACAGGCACGACAAGGAGAGTATTATATACACTCGAGGGCTGTTAGCTTGGCTCTCTAAGGCAGTATGAGCGTACCTTGCATCTTCGTTCCCGACAGACGTTACAGGCAGCGAAGAACGTTCTGATTTATCCCGAGAGACTGGAGGACAAGGCCGAGTTGGTTGTTTTGGTTTGAGTATCGATTGTGGCCGCTGGAAAGATGACATGATGTGTAAATTAGATAGGTGACCGGCAGCTAAAACTCCGGCAGCTTCAAGGTGGTTGAGTCAAGGCGGCAGAGACTCGGCACTATGCCTGGTGTATAAATGGGGACCGGAAGCAGTTGGTTGACATCATATGTTGCACCCTTCAGCCAGTGAAATAATCAAGCACAGTATTAACAACCCCTTTTGGGATACGAGGTAGCATGCCAATATGCATAAAAAGGTTCTTGAAATCCTACGGTTGGTATTTTGTAGAGGTTTTGATGACTAACCACAAGACTTGCGGATATTATCTCCGCATGGTTGTGTCCTAGCACTGTGGTAATAATTTAACCCTCCACTCATTTTTAATGCTCAACAGTCATTCGTTGTGCGGCAGAATTAGTGACATATAATATAAGGCCACTGACATGGTCCTATCCACAAACTACTACGTACCTATCACCCTGGCCATGAGTGTGACGTGCTGGTGGCCTGTTCAAGTCCTGTGCAGTCCAATGGTTGCCGGACTAGGACGCATGGCGCGAACGAAACCTACACAGTTCAAAGGTACAAATAAGCACTCGAGGACTATATTATTGGTGGACATAGCATCTCCGCGCACCGATACTCATCGAGCATCTGGCTACACCTATATTGAAGCCAGCTAGTGGACAATACCCAGTTTTAGTTTTATCTTACCAGCTCAAAGATTGTATATAGTACCGCACCATATTTCTCAGTTGCAGAGGCGAAATAAAAGTTTGATTATCCAAGATATGCCTATTCCTCAAAACTGAATGACTAAAGGACTAGAGGACTAAAAGACTAAAGCACACGTTGCTGTTGACCGGATATACATCACCTGCTCCTACGGAATTTGCCTGACTGCCTTTGGGAAGCAGACTTGCTAGAGTCGCGCTCCCGCTCCCTGGGCATGGAAGCTGCCTTTCGCTGGTGTCCTCTGTAGCTACTTTCCTTGCAAGCAGAATCCCCACGAGAGCTCCGTTCGCTGTGGCCTCGATGTTTTCGTGATTCACCTCCCCTGCGACCGCCATCAACCTCGGAAATGGGTGATAGAGGGGGAACAGGCGTTCGAGAACGACTTTTCTTCGACCTTTTCTGTTCTTGCATAGCTCGAGGAGACTCTGTGCGAGATCTTGGAGGTGTATGGGGAGGGCGCGGTCTGCTCTTGGTCTGGTATCGGGACACTGTGTCACTCTGGCGGGACGCGTGCCCCCGCGAGGTTGCCCGACTGGTCGACAACCCATCCCTTGCTTGAGAGCTGTGCCTCTGCGGGAGCAAGCGGCTAGATGATGAACGTCTACGTTCAACAGTCTCAGCAATATTGAGTCTCGATTTCCCCGCCACGGTGTATTTTGATATACCTCCTGTTAGAAGACGAATGCTGTTGGCTCTCGGGCTCGTTTTCTGACTGCGAGTCATACTCTTCTGACACGGCTTCGCCGTATGGAGACCGACCACCTTCCCCAACAGACTTCAGCATATTCAGTCTCAGGCACCTCTTCCCTGTCGTCAATGAAATCTTTAAGACTCTCGCCGCCCTCACTAAGTGAATGCGTATCAACAACGGATTCCTCTTCCATGTCGGTCAACCTTTCTTCGTCGACGTTCACAATCCTTCTGTCTCTCCGGGCGCGAGGCTGCTTCCAATAAGCCTTTCCCGCAGCATTGACAAAGTCTCAGTAGCGGAGATACGATTCTTGCTTTGGTTCAGATGAAGCACCCAGTAGCGGCAGGAGTACCGCAGATGCGCCGGTAGACATTCGCTGATCCTCTGGTCATTGGAGGGGGCACACGGAGCGATATCTGGCAGCAGACGTGGCTTGGTTCGGCTTAGCTAGTGGTTCGAAGATTATCGTCGGACCCGAACTGGGCCCCAAGATGCTGCTATGGTATGATCCATCGCGATCTCAATCTGTCAGCCTCTCATGTCCCGAGCCAAGCCCACACAATCAACCCATACGATTTGTGCCACATTTCGCCCTCTGCCAATTTGTCCCGAAAACGTCACTCACGATGACTGCGATGTAGGTTGTCAAGGCAAGCCGTCTGCGCAATTTCGCGACCGCATCGAATTCTGTCGAATTTGTCTGTTCAGCCGAAGGGAAACAATATCAATCAGCTGACGGTTAAAGGAGCGACATGAAACGCCAAGACTCACAGTAAGAGGGGCTGGCGAAGTACATAGGACGGAGAGGCCGACCCAAAAATGGCCCAAGTTGGTTCGAATCGACACGGCGCCAAAGGATGGGACAGCAACGGTAAGAAGCGGGCGGGCGAGGAGGCCATCCATATAGACCACGCACCACGATGCCAAGCGGCAGCGACACGCTTTCCCCGATCGGGCGCGCTATACCGGATGCAGTAATTCACCGTCACCGCAGAATACGGAGTAGATACAATCAGGGATTCTGCGATCCTGCAAGGAGGGATTGTACCGACCCAGAAGGTTGGTTGAATTGGATATCAAACTATCGCGGACAATTGTGTTATATTGCTAAGCTTCCCAAAGGTAGGTTACTTAAAGACAATGTGTATTGAGCAGGAAGAACAGAACTAGCTAAGTACATGAGGGAGTGTCCTTGTATATCCTATCCTTCGTATACCATATCATATACCTTCCCATATACCCATAGTCACGTGACGTATGGCCGTTCCGGGCGTCGTAGTAGCAATTTGATACTTTACGAATTAAACTTACAACCTGGAAATGGCATGCTCCTCGTACATTAAAAACGTGACCTTACTTGGGATCATGTTGGGCAGGGCTCAAGGTGGCTATACACGGGGTAAGTTCTACTCCCTTTCAGAGCTCTCTTACAACAATGCCGACCCCCTAATTTACAATATTCTTTGGCACTACTGTGTTGCCGGCCGTTGTTATTTAAAATTTAGTCTTCATGTTCTACTATGCTCAATCATAAAATGTAGATCTATAAAGCCAAAAGCATATCAGGTCTATTACAATGTCTTGAGGATCGCGGATGCATTCTGTTTAGATGACAAAGAGACAGGGAAAGAAGGCTTCCCGCACGTATGCACAGGACTCTCGGTACTTCTAGTTGGTTGGTTTACCATGGTATATATACACGTTTCAATTCAGAAAATATATATATATCCTGCTATATCCACAGTCATTTAAGTAACCAGACTTATATGCTGATTACTATCAGACTATTTTACAGCTAGTATAGAGAACACATCTAATATATTAATTTTATTACACTAAGATTATTCTTATATATTAGCTCCAGAATCTTATAGATTCTAGCCAAAAGTCATAATAATTAAAGAACTCTTACTCTAGACAGATAGTTCTAGACCAGCATACAGGACTGGAATACTATATAAATAGTTTTAATAATCTTAAAACAGAAGTAAGAGTAGGAAAAAAAGAGTTAAAAATCTTTAAAAAAATTTAAATAATAAAAAGATTGTCTTACCCAGGGCCTTTATAATTATATTTTTTCAATTAATATTAAAATATATATACTTATCCAGGACTGCTGAGATAATATAGTAGAATATAAAAATATTCTAGACTGAAAGTTTCTGTTAATATATATATAAATTATAAATACTGAGATACATGCTAGTCAGTATCTCTGTATATTAATTAATCTATTTATAAAAATAATTTTTCTTATCAGCTAGTCTTTTAATATCTGAGAGTTTTAGAGTCATAGTTAATTAATTAATAAAAATTAATTAGTTTAATAAGTCTACTAAGCACGTTTCAGACCTGATAATAAAAATATTTATAAATAACTAAGTAATAATAAGAGAGTCCTCTGATCTAAATAATAATCTGGCTTATATTCTACCAGACTAAATTCTATAGATAAAATCTATATTAATACTACTGCTCATGGAAAGTGACATACAGTTCTATTTTATTTTTACAGAATACTAAGCATGGCTCTAATAATCCAGGGAAAAAGACTAGTAGGCTATATTTAATATAAGACTTTGAATCCTTTTCTTTGATATTTTTTCTTTCTAGCTGTATTACCTGTGTTCTGTTTATAAAATTAGTATTATTCTAACAGAAATAAAAGAAAATAATCAAGTACCTCTATTTAAAGTTATGATATATATTTAGTTTTTTTATATATTTATTATAATTTTTTTCCTTTAAGTCTATCCTTCTGCGCGTATATATAATATAATCGGGTTACTTGTTACCCAAGACTGATAGTATCCATGATGATATACATATTGCCAGACTGTGTAATACTTAGTCCAGGCTCAGATATCTTTTCTATTCTACAGGCCCTCTTAAATAGCTGTAAGAGGGAAAGACCTTACTTGGTCTTCTATAACAGACTCCTAGTCTGGAAGTTGGCTTTGGCACATGGACAATATTTTCGGGCATAAAGTACTAAGACAGGCTAGCTTACCACATGTCATTAGCTACCACCAAATATGGCTAAGCCTGCGCTTGTAGTTAGTTAACACGATTACTGACTCATCCATTAAGATGGACTAAAAATAACATTAGTATTGCTGCTAGACTGAAGGTTAAGCTTTCTTGTTACAGATAATTGAACTAATCATATATTCTGTATAACATAGTTTATATAAAAGAGATAACTTATTAAATATTGTCTTGTAATTGCCTTGGATAACATTATCCAGAATGGATTAACCATGCAGCGCGTGGTTCCTTAACTGAAGAGATAAATTAGGTTAGTATCTGACTAGAGTAAAAGCTATAACTACTAGAATATACTCAGGTGTAAATGATGCAACTTTCGTAATTCACAGGAGACTTTTGTCAGGCCTGCCCTGGTTGCTTGATTCATGTGTCTGCCAAATTTGACTAGGTCGGGTTGGAGTGATTGGGTTCAGGTCTGGACTGCAGGTAGTCATGCCTTCTGGATATGGGAGGCTAGAAAACTGAACTGTGTTTATTTGATCAGGAGTAATCATGAAGTCGTCTAACAAGACTGTCTCAGACATGCTTGAGGGCGAGGGCAAACCGATATTTCAGTCTCACGAGACTCAATGGTGCCGATGTGTCTTTTCCCAAATAAGTACTACTTGGTTCCACCGGTCGCGATGTGTTACTACTTTCCAATACTAGACCTTATTCTGCTCTGGAAAGACATCCGTAAGCGTTCTTCCAGCTCTTGACGCATGCAACAGATAACAAATGTGGTCACACTCTGGAGAGACAGAAGTGCACTGTGAGAGCCGATCAAATATGTCTTATTTGGTGCATCTAAACTAGAATATCAAACATGAGGAAGGAAAGAAAGAAGTGTGGGGGAGCGCGTGCGAACAAGAAAGGTAAGCGAGCGAAGTGAAACAAACAAGGCAAGCAAAACTACGTCACGCGCCTCAGTCACGTCGCTCGGCATCACATGCACGACATACTGCTCTGTCTGAAAGAGGGATACACACCATGCCTTACCGGCTTGCAGACACACCTAGTCAACATATAACTTATCTTCAATACATATTAAATGAGGGATAAATGTAATCCTCTCTTGTCTCCTTTCAGCCAGCAGATATGCACCGACGACTAGAAGTGCTGATAACTATAGTTTTAGTTATTTTTATACTCTATTCAACATCTGTAAATTCTGCTAGCTATCTAGCGCCTGGTTAGAGGAACCGTAATATAAAAGCTGATAACAGCTGGTTTATATACTGTTCTCATGGAGACTAAGAGATACTGTGTAAACCAGGATTATATATACTAGAATATTCTAGTATCTTATTTTATATATATTATATTATTCTATTAATATTAAATTAATATTTAACCATCCAGTGCTGGCTAGCGTTCAGCGGCTATAAATAAAAAGAAAAAAAATTATTTAAAAAAAACTCTCTTTATAATATAAAAGATAAAAATAATAAAAATAAGTTCTTACTATTACAAGACAGTGTCAAACCCTAGGATTGCTTCCCTGTTCCTGTTAGCTTAGCTTCACTGGTATACGTACCGTCGAGCTGGGTTGAGGTGGTATCAGGCTGATAGCCTATCTAAAGTAACTGGTCTTGAATAAGAGAAGAGAAGTAAGACTAGATAATATCATGCAGCTATCTGTAAATAAATGCGGACAAGTATTATATTACTAAGCTTTTAAAGATAGATTATTTAAAGATAGTATAGATTGAGCACGAAGAACAGAACTAATTAAGTATATAAATAAATATTTTTATATATCCTATCCTTTATATACCAAGTAGTATATTTTTTTATATATTATATATTATATACTATATACCTGTCTGTATACTATCTTATATACCCATAGTCATGTGATACGTGGCTGTTCCGGGCATTATAAGAGTAATCTAGAATTTTTCTTGATAAGTATTACTGATTATCTAAGTACCGCTTTTACTGGTGCTTTCTGCCTGATAAGTCTATCTTACTAATAATTTAATTAATAGAGATCTGTAATATTACTTTCTCTCTTTCAAGATTTTTTATTTTTAAGAAATAAAAAAATGCATATCTCCTGTAGATTTATTTAAGTTCTTCAGTTTCTTTTCTTTTTTTAGGATAGGTCAATATGCTGAAATGTAATAAATATATTAATAATAAGTATTTAGCTGATAGGATTAAGAACTTTGGTTATTTTATTAATATTTTATATAATTTCTGTTTTATTTTAAGACAAGGTTTATATCATGAGTTTGATTATTTAAAATAAGAAGTATTCAGTCTGTATTTTATGCAGTCACAAGTATAAGAAGCAGTTTTATAATAATTAAAAATAGAATAAGCTTAAATGAAGTAAGTAAAAGATTGTGGCTAATTTTAAGACAGTCTAAAAACAGTTCATGTAATATTCTGAAAAGATAAATTAAATAATAATAAAAATTATTTACTTATAAAAGTATTAATAGTTCTTGAAGAATTATAGTGGTCAGATACTAGATTATAACTTGAATATATTAGAGTAATTAGATAAAAAAATCTTCTAAGTACTAAGAATCTCTGAGAGCTGAAGTATCTGGTTAATAAGTATAATATTACTTAACTTACTGCTATATTAGATAATTCTAGTTTAATTTAATTAATTAATTCTTCTTTCTTCTAGATAAGAATTGCGGTTTGCTATTCCACTGCCTTTTTCGGCGGCATGTGATGCCAAAAATGGCTGTCTTTCAGCAATATCCCTCCGCCATGCTTCTGTCTATTTTAATCATGTATTATTTATCCACTATTCCTGCCTCAGGCTATTATTTCATGTATACTTATATTCTTAGTTATCTAAGAGCTTATTTTTACTATTTTCTCTCTGGTCTTCTAGAAAAGGAGGAGCTACTGAAAATAATATTTTTAAATATTCTGTTAACTGTATTCTGGCCAGTATTCAGCTACTATAATTACAAATATTTTTCTGTTAATTATTCTCTGTCTAATAT